GTGACCGCCCCGCCAGATGCTGTCCCACCACGTGGTCGTGCCCCTGTTCCCAGGACCCCCGCTGCCGCCTGCCGCCAGGAGCCTCTAGCTCTGTCGCTTTTCTCTAAATAAAGATTCACATCCACCTGGCCTCCTGGTTACCCTGAGCATCCTCGGTCGCTCCGCCCTTCTCCTGTCCCCAACCCCCATGTGGTTGAGCCCCCGCCCCACCATGTCCCCACCAGCGGAAGGACCCCCGAAAAACTAGGTGGGACGGTGAGCTGGGCCGTGGGCCTGGGGAGAGGGGGCCCCTGCGCGGTGGGTCTGGGGGTCAAAGCCACCAGTACACAGGGCCTTGTGGTCTTTCTCAGCGGCTACAGTACAATAACTTCACCTGCACCCAAGGGAGCCTCCAGGCCTGGGTGGCAAGTGGGGGGAGGGGGGGTCCGGGCAGCCTAGGAACAGTGGGTAGTGCCCAGGAAGTGGGCTGTGAGGGAAACCGTGGCACAACGGAGGCCAGGTGGGTAGTGGAGTGGGAACAAACTTGGGGTGTGAGGAGGAGGGTGGTTCTGGGGGGTCAGGGAAGGCTTGGCTATGCACAGTGTCCTTAATCGCTGGGCTCCTATCTATCCATCCATCCATCCATCCATCCATCCTTCCCTCAGTCTATCCATCATTATCTATCAACCCATTCATCTACCTATCTATCTGGCCTGTATCATTTCTCTAGCTTTCATTTATCCAAAGTTTTTTCTGAGTCAGTTGAGAGGCAACTACTTCTTTACCCTTAAATACCTCAATGTGGATTTCCTTAAAACAAGGGCATATTTTTTACATCACTCCATGCAATTATCAAAATCAGGAATTTAGCCTTGAAACAATCATATTATCTAATCTACATACCTTATTAATAGTTTGTTAATCGTCTCAATAATGTTCTTTGTAGAAAAAACCCCACAAACACACACAAAACCAACACACACACACACACACACACACCTGACCCAGGATCCAACCCAGGACCCACGCTGTGTTGTCTTACCCCCTTCCATCCGGGACAGCTCAGGCTGTCATGACCTGGGCAGGCCTGAAGTGAGCAGACACTCTGTAGGCTGACCTTGACTTGTGCGATACACCGTCACAATCAGCTGGAGAGGCTGTGTTTTAGGGTTTGCATCACTGGAAGTGCTGCTGTGCCCTCTTTGGCATCCAAATCTCCTTGCTCAAGAGCTTTCATAACCCAGTATCCAACCCTCTCCCCAAAGAGAGGTGCCTACGTTCTCATGCATTGGTCTTCTGGAGGCCAGCCCTCCCTGAGCCCCCATCCAGATGCTGTCTGCTCCATCTTGAATTATCTCATTAGCATAAACTCCTGAACTTGGCCTTTAGGTTGTTTACAATATTTTGCAATACAAACAACGCTACAATGAGTGAGTAATTTATACTTTTTTAAAAATGCTCCCTTGAGGGTATTTTCCCATTGGTTCCAGAGGTAGAGGAAGGGGGAGAGAGAAAAACATCAATGTGAGAGAGATACATTGATGAGAGAAACATCCATCAGTAGCCTCCCATACCAGCTCCACCAGGGATCGAACCCGTCATCTAGGTATGTGCCCTGACCGGGAATCTAATCCAAACCCTTTCGGTGTACAGGACAACACTCCAGCCAACTGACCCACCTGGCTGGGGCCACATATATATTTTTTATTCTTGGAGATTTATCTTCAGGGTCAAGTTCCTAGAAATAGTGTTGCTGCATTAAATTTTTTAAATTTATACAATTATAAAAATTTATAAATATAAGTTTAAAAACAGCTTTTCTCAAGTTTTAAAGCTCAATTTAAAAGCTTCTTTATAAATCTAGTAACTTTTGTGTTCGTGTATGTCTTCACTTACTCTTAATGAGTATTCTATTAACTCATATATTCGATATAATCAATTTCTCTAACACTTTTAAGACACTTCACATTCTTGACAAGCTTGATCGATTAGATTCCCTAGTATTTTAAATGTTCATCATAAATGCTCAGACCTGATCTTCCTGAGTGCTCTGACCCAGCAATTTGCAGACCTCCAAACCTATCTTACAAAACCTCTGTGGCTGTGCACGCGACTCGCCATCTCATCAGATCTTAAACTGAAATGCTCTCTCGCATCCTAAAACCAAACCCCAAGATCCCTGAGACAAAATTCAAGTTAAAACAAGTCATGGATGCTACATCCTCTTAAGAGTTTCACAGGTTTTCAGTAGCAAACAACATGCATTTGCAAGGCTCCCATGACTTCCGGTGAGCCTCACCGGAGGCAGAGAGCAGAGCTCCATGCCTTTCTGGTGCTTGTCACCCGTCACCGGTGGCACGATATCCTAGTGTCCCTCTGGAGGGCAGGCAGTGTCCCTGCTGGTGCTCTGCCGGACCTGAGTGTGACCAGGGTCAGAGTTTGCGGGGAGCGGGGGCCCTGCCGAGCCCCCTGCAATCAGAGTCAGGCTCCAGTTTGCAACCCAGGGGTCCCTGCAGCCTCCAGGCATCCTTTACATATTTTACAGAAACCTCTTCTAAAAACTCACAAGTCAGGCGCCCTGGAGTAGAACCCTGAGCTGGCTTCTGTTAGCTGGCCTGCAGGAGTGACCCGGATGACATGCCCCCACAGGACCCCAAGCCAGGTCAGCCACCTGCCCACAGTCCTGTCCCAGGTGTGGCCCTCAGAGGAGTCAACACTGAGACACGCAATTTGCTGACCTGTGGGTCTCATCAGTGAGGTGCGTGGTGTGGTATCGGGGACCTTGAGTCCAACTCACAGCCGAGAGAAGAAGGTGTAACAGCTGGTGAGGCTTTAATCGTGTCAGATAAAATGCCAAAAGTCAAAAACATAATTCTTACACATACAGTGTGTGCCAGGTCCATGGGCTCCCTGGTGAGGGCCCCGATGATGATGGGAACAGGTTCAAGGAAAATGTGAGAGATTCCATGTGTTCATCTGAGAAGAGACCTGGACCCTCAGAGAGAGAGAGAGAGAGAGAGAGAGAGACCACGCTGGGGACAGTGGCACGGGGGGAACCAGGGCCTTGGGGTCATCCTTTTATGGGTCAGACCGTGTGCAACATGTTGGTCCTCTACAAGCTGACCTCACCTGGCCGCCTCCTGCTCTGCTTCTCCACTTCCTGTCACATCCTCCACCCCATCTCAGTAAATCACAAGCACAACCCTCAGATGTCTTCAAGGTCATTTCAAGGTTACATTCCCTTCTTCATCAGGCAAACACTCACTAGAGCCGGGCCTGGGACACAGGGATGGGATCCAGAAGATGGAGCCCCTCTCAGGTCAGTCATCACAGCCCCTCACCAAGGTTGCTGTCCCAGAGACACACGTCAGCTTGTCGGGTCACAGAGCAGGCTCCCCTGCCAGGCGCCTGGGAAGGAGCTGCAGGAAGAAAGAGGAGCCTGGGACTCTGGAGGAGGGTGATCAGAAGGAGGCCAGTTCACAAGGTGACTCCATGCCTGTGCCACGGTGCTCAGCACCTCCTAGAACTGCAGGTTCCTGTGGGACTGGGCATGTCGCATGTCGATGTCACGCTGAGAGTCCACATGCCCAATCCCACAGGAAGGTCACTCCCAGGGCAGTGGGATGTAAAATGAGGAACTACATTTGTGACTCTGCAGCTACTGCCTGGGCCTGGGCCTGTGGGAGGGGGTGAGGGTCAGTTTAGGGCCCCGCAGGCAGCGAAACCACAGAACCAATGAGCTACTCTCACCAGCGTAGCATCTGTCCAAGGCCCACCCAAGGCTCCGCAGGTTGCCAGGGAATCTGCCCAGCACCAGACTTCAAGTCTGGCAGGTCATCACCTGCCAACTGCTCTTTCACAGAGGGTAGCCTGCCCATGTTACCCTGGGGCCAACCCTCACCTCCAAGGTCCTGCCTGTGCTTGGGCCAGAACAGAGAGGGGTCTTGGGGAGAGGTGTGAAGCGTAAGGTGTGGGGATCTCACTCTCCGGGGGGCGCAGCTCAGGGAGGGCTCAGCCTGCTGCTGCTCCCTGCTTTGTCCCCAACGTCCAGAACCAGTTCCTAGTTATCTCCCAGGGATGCTGCCCTGTTCCTGTGGGATGACTGGCAGCAGCAGCGAGGATGAGGATGCTGCACCGCCATGCTTGGCCACGGTTCTGGGAGGTGCTGCTGCAGCCCCCGCACACCCTCCCCAGAAGGGAGGATGAAGACAGGCTGGGGTCTTTATTTCAGGACCTGGGGCCATGCAGAGCAGAAAGGGCTCACCGGTCTGGAATCAACGGCCACAGACACAAATCTGACCATGCCCAGTACAACCCAGGTCTCCCATTTCCAGCCGAGGATGGCTGCGGCCGGCACCCTGCAAGCTCTCAGCACTGAAGGCAGGCCTCCCCAGAAGGGAGGATGAAGACAGGCTGGGGTCTTTATTTCAGGACCTGGGGCCATGCAGAGCAGAAAGGGCTCACCGGTCTGGAATCAACGGCCACAGACACAAATCTGACCATGCCCAGTACAACCCAGGTCTCCCATTTCCAGCCGAGGATGGCTGCGGCCGGCACCCTGCAAGCTCTCAGCACTGAAGGCAGGAGCGCAGCGTGTGTGTGTGTGTGTGTGTGTGTGTGTGTGTGTGTGTGTATTTCCAAGTCCCTAGGGATTGACCCGTTCTCATCTCCGTGTCCCAGAACGAGGGGCAGGTGCCTGTAGGAGCTGCATTCTGCTCTGGCCCCTGGACATCCAGAGAGGGGCAGGCCAGTCCTAAGGGTCTCTCAGGTAGTTTGACCAAAGTCCCCCTCCCCAGTCTGTCGGGACAGAGCAGTCATCTCTGCCCTCAGAGCAGGCAGTGCAGGCTGCCCTGCTTGGCACAACTAACCAGAGGTGAGAGGCAGCGCGCCAGCCAGGCCTCACTGCGGCCACGTCCACAGCACCGGCCAAGGGGCCGCTGGATGTCCACACAAGGCCCTTCCACAGGCCCTCCCACCGCCACATGGGGTTAACCTCTCTCCAGCTGCACAGAGACGTACTGGCAGAAGCACAGGCCGGGCTCCAGGTGGCCCCGGGCGGCCGCGGTGTCCTCGTAGTGGGGGAAGTGTGCCTGCACCAGGCAGCACGCG